TGGTATTCATCCAAAATTACCTAAGGTAATTACAGAATACAGTTTTTTACTTCACGAAAAACCTCATGATTTAGCCGCAGGAATTTCTAATCTGCCATATGCTCTGTTTCAGAAACGATGATTAACGTTAACTAATTATTTAAAATATTAGAATATTTTGCTATTAACCTCAATCACCGTTTAAGACCCCGGACAATACTGAATTCATCGCTGCAGCTTTGAATGATTTAAATCTATATCTAGTGTAATAATCTTTACACTAAGCTATTGCTAACTGTCTTAGCGTAGGTAGAGTTAGAGAGATGGTTAATTCCCAAAATTGTATATTTTTTTTACCGAGTCCAAATCTGCAATTAAAAATTTAAAATTAAAACAACATCGCGTTTTTCACTAATTTTTTTATATTTTATTATATCATATGACGGCTTATTAAATTCTCTATAAAAGTTCTTTATGCACCATAGCGAAAATACTTCAAATATCAAAGATTTTTCAATTGTTTTCATTTCGATCTACTTATCCATAAAAATGATAAAATGACCTAATTGTTTGTTCACATTAGTTCATTGTTTCCAAATGTATCCTTCAGTATTCATAGATGCGTCCATTACATCGTGGAAAACACAAACTTAGAACTTACTTTACGGAACAATAATTTCAAAATTCTCTTTATTTTTACCGAGTTTGTAACAGCAAGAAGTTCGTCTCAAAATAAACTAAACTATAGTTTGTGTTTTCCACGATTAAAGGGGCGCGTATATCAATATAGATGATAAATTAAGGAGAAATGAACAAGTGTGAACAAGCGACGCCATTCTATCATTTTATGGACAACTAGATCGAAATGAAAATAATTCAAAAATGTTAGTTATTTCAAGTATTTTGGCTATGGTGCATTAAGAACTTTTATAATAATATACAGTGTGTTCCATTTATTAAGGTCAAATTTTGATTATTGTTTGAAAAGTGCAATGTTCTTTTGTTTTTTAAATTACAGATTTGGATTCAGTAGAAAAACACACACAATTTTTGTAATGTAACCGTCTTCCTCTACTCTACAACAAAGAACGTTAGCAATAGTGCCGATTTAATTTGAAACCGGCTGTATATTGCTATGTAATAATATAATATGCTAATCTTCTATATTGGTGGATGGTAGATACATACGTACAGACGGAAAAAATTATTCTTTAAAAATTGCTTAAAATGATGTAAAATGTCGACCTTTGATGAAATTTTGAAATGTCCAAAAAATGGCGATAGCGATAGCCACCTAGTTCAAGCTATGAAACTAAAAGTATAGAAGCCCACCAGAAAAAACACTGTCAGTGTTAAGTCAAGTCAACAATAATCAATGCCAATGGTGCACAGACTTATCTGCGTCAAAATTTTAAAGAATCGACAGGCAGGAAAATAACGAAAAAGTTTATAGCAATAGAATTAGTAATGTAAAAATAACACTATGGACCGTTTTTTTCATGTGTAAGTTCAACTTTTAAACCTGTAGGTGTCAGATACAGGTAACGGTAACATGAAAAATCGATCCTCAATGTGTTCTTTACTTTACTTACCTTTTTACCTGGATTTAACTAAATATGTTGCTAGTAATTGCACGGTTAACAAAGCACTCGTTGTCACGCTCTCTGAAAAGAGAGTGCAAAATATTTATTATTATTATTTATTATTATTTATTATTATCCCTCTCTTGTTTTGGGCCCTCAACAGGCATGCGCCAAATTACAGAGTGACCCGCATAATGCTATTTAGAGGTGCCTCTGCAGAAGGTCTTAAGTTGGTCTATACTACTCCGGCATTTACCTTACGAATTAGGAAAACTGCAGGAAAACCTAATTCGGAGTAGCCGGCAGAATGCTCGGAACTGGTCTAAGGTAATTTCCATCTCCGCCACAGATGAAAAATTCACCTCAACCCAGGTTCGAACACCCGACCTCCGGATTTATATCCCAATGCTCTACCACTGAGCCATAAATCCGGGAAATATACCTAACAAAAGTGCAGAATTCAAATAAAGTAGGTTCCTAGAGAAAATGCGGTCAGAAAGGTAAAAGAAACGCATCTTTTGATACTGATGAGATGTCAGAACCGTCTTATCATTCCTTTCTTCAGGAGAAACTTAGCATTGCGCAGTCTATGCATGCGCACACTTTAAAATATTCGATATGTTTTCCTTTACTAGAAAAATCTTTGTTTACAATTTCAAAAAATATCTCTATAAATAAGGAAGGTGACCTGACGTAGTTTGCGCATGCGCAAATTAATCGTCAACATTTTTCTTGGCTTAGGTACCAAAGCTATAAGCTACCGAACGCAAAAATAATGAACTAAATATCTTGAAATCCGTACAAATAGTTAAGGCCTCGGCGGACGGACAAAGGGCCCATAACAGCGCCTTCCAATATGAGTTGGAAAATGCGCAAAAAATATACAGAAAGTTCGATTTAGTAGGTGCAAATTCAGGTTAAAATGGAAGTGATAAACAATGGCATTATCGTCAAGATATTGTTTGGTTTTTAGCGCATTTTCCAACGAAGTTGGGTCCGCTATGGCAGCGACTTTCTCTGTGCGTCCGTCTGTCGGTCCGTCCAAGACCTTAATTACTCCTACACTTTTCAATATTGTAGTTCGATCTTTTTGAATTCAGTAGTTTATAGCACTGGCATCTGGTCCAAGAAAAATCTTAAATAATTAATTTCTTATATTAAATTTTAACCAAAGACGCTTCTAATAAAATCAAACATAGCATATAGCATAAATTAGATGTGCGCATGCGCGAACTGTGCGACGTCAACTTTCTTCATAAATGCCTTTAGTAAAGAAAATCATAGCGCACATAGAGCTATGGCCTTTTGGGAAGTACTGATCAATGAATGGAAAATTCGCTGAAATTACTCGCCTTAGGGCGGAAACTTTTTTACTTGTTTTACAGTATACACATACCAAAGTTGAAAAAAGTTGATTTGCAGGTAACGGACATAGTTGATCATTCCGGCTAAATAGAATAAAATCCGTTTCAGTTATCCGCGTATCAATTGTTAATAAGCGGGGGCAATTCGAATAACGCAGCCTGAGAAGTCTCTAAAGCACCAAGACTAAACGTAGGTACTTTTATTTATTTACATCGCTTAAGATAATCTTAATGCGGTCGATAGACAGAATCGGGTTGGGTAAGTAATTTGTATACAATGCTGTAGATGCAGTATACAGATCAGGCTCCTTCCAACTTTTCCACCGGATTACAAATATTCGTTTGAGGTACTCCCGAATATTGCTTTCGTAATGGGGTGGTGCTGCACTTTGATGAAACTATAGCAAATTCGCGAAACTTGTAGGTCTGTGGGATATGCTCTAATGCAGTGAGGATCTTCCCTAGCCCAATAGCGGCAATTTTGACCATAGCATAACCGTGCACTCTCAATTGGATCACATTATTATCTAACATTACCACCACTTGTTCACAAAAATTGTTCATGGGCGCCTGAGTGGGCATCATTTTATAGGGATGCATTTTATTTATTGTTAATGCTCGACTAATTGAATATTGAGGATACTTTTTCACGGGTTTTTCTTCAAACCGAGCAAGTAGAATATTCAATTTGGTATCATCACATATGCAGTTTTCTTCGATAAAATGCAGGTACTTACTTTTTAAGTTATTAGCGATGAACCGTCCAAAGAGGTGATGACACTTTCACTCAGGAATAGGTTGAAAAGTACCGATTTTTGCTGTATTGCTGTCTGTCGTCTGTCTGTTGGTCTGCCCGTCTGTTCCTTTGTCTGTCTGTCCCTCTATCTGTCCTTGTGAACGATAACTTTGTTTAGAAATGTCCGATCGCTTTTAGATCTCCGTTAGTTATGAACTGAATTGCATGAAATTCAATATGGGCATAGCTTTAGCCATATAATACGCAATGCCAAAAGTTGAGTCGAATCGATGCAAAATTCAGTGTCCTTTTAGCATCTCGATCATTTATAAACCAAATTGCAAACTTTTTTATTTATAAAAGTATTTGAATGAAATTTGATACATAGGCACTTGGAATAAATGAAAATCTAACGCCAATTTCAAAATTTGGTTTTGCGCATGCGCAGTGCCAACTTTCTTATTTATGAAAGCATTGAAATGAAATTCTTCTTATAAACAGAAATTGAAGTAGCACGTCAAAAATGGATTGCACATGTGCAACGCTATCTTTCATATTTGTGTCCGGATTGTTAAGATTTTAACAGAAGTTGCATCTTACAAATGGGAAATGAATGCAAGTGGAAATGCGCTTTTTGTAAATCGTTTACGATTACTTTTTAACTTGTTGGCATTGCATCGTCTTATTACCAGAAAAATTTGAACTTAGATCTATGGTAATTTTGTAAATTATCTATATACTTTATTTGGCAATTTACCTAAGTACAGCATTAAAAACTTATTTAGTGATGAGATAATGCGTAATTTCGCAACCTTAATATACCTACTTTCACTTCGCTGTTTTCTGTTTTTATGAAAGAAAATTTTTGTTAAGGAAGTTATTGATACATTCGCATTAATAAAATTTATGAGTTCAAAAGCACAAATTACAAATTAAACGATTCAGACCAAACATTGTAGGTATAGATCGCCTTTGTGTGCTCTCTTTGACCAGTCATTATTGATTCCCTCATTAAAATAACAATTACAATTTTATCGATTTATTATTTACAAAATTCTTGTCGTTATTAGCAACACCAAACAACGCGTCGTTATCGTGTAGGTAGGTACTTGACTTCTTGCTGGCATGGCGTGCTAAAATTACTGCAGTATTAGAAAATCCGCTTTTGAGTCTTGTACACGTTAGTTTTAAAAAAGTTAATGATGCAATCCATTAAGAATAGGATATTATCGGAGGTCGAATATAAAATATTAAGTAAATACAAAAAATTAATTAATATTAGTAAGAATAACGTGATTGGATAACAATAAATTACTTAATTTATGTTTCTTTTTTCAGACTTCTCTTCCAACGAAGATGACTACAACGTAGACCTTCGCAAACTCGCAATTGTAATCTTCATGATCATCGGTGATGTTGAACGTCACGAATAGTTACACTGAATCGGCTTCCCCAGGACGCAAGCGAAATCTCGAACGTCGCGTTGTGCATATAATAATACATGATATGATAGAAAAGTGAGTGTTAATAATAACAGTAGTTTAATAGAAATCGTAGAAAAAAATGTTAACGAGCCGCCGAATACTTTTCCTGAAGTTTTTAATTGTAATTGGCGTCGTGTGTCTGATCATTACACAGTATCACAATACATCCGATATCATAAGGGAAATGCAGCAGTCTGGAAGAAACTTGGCAGCATTAGAGCGGCAGCAAAGTTCCGTCGATCAATTAGATCCCGCTGCGGGAAATGTTCAGGTGGCGCAAGAATTGGTCATACCCACCGAGAAAGCGGAAAGAGTATCGGAAGCGCTAAATTTAGTTTCGTTCAATGAAAGTTCTAGCAATAAAGACGATCCCGAGTTAACAATTATAAATAAAGTACGAGAAGTGACCAAGTGTTTGGACAAACCCTTACTTCCCAAGATACAGCAAAGGGGAGATTATTGGGTATTGTACAACTACGTTATGGCCGAGAAAAGACACAAATGCCACGAAAGTATTACTTACACCACCCATGGGGATTATTCCTTTTTGGATAATGTAGTGCCCTTGTTAGAGAGATGGAGGGGTCCAATAAGTATTGCGTTACATGCGCCTGGCAATGATTTTCAACCCACTTTGGATTCCATTGCTTATCTTCGTGATTGCACGTCACCTTTAGTCAGGGAATTCGTCACATTTCACGTTTACTTTAGTACAAAACACGTTCCGAAACAGGTAAGCAAAATTAAATATATTGATTTGTTATATTGTTTCCAAACTATTAGGATTGTGTCTTTGAGTTATCCTTAATGGTCACGGTTTCGGTTTTGACCAGCGAGTTGAATAAAACCTTGCACCTTAATGGGATAGGAATGTTAATGACAGGACGCTGAAGTTAAGTTTAATTAATTGTTTAAATTCATTTCCTTATATTCGTATATTACGGTCGATGTTAAGGATGTAGTAATGATCTTTAAACGCATTTTTTTTATTCCGAAAGATCGATTAGGTACCTAATACGGCGGATTGTCTGGCTTTTTTAAACATTAACTTTTGTTTTCGATGTGTGCATCTCTCATTAATGCATCTGATTGTAGTAAATGATGTATCTTTCTAAGCTTATCGAGTATATTTTATTCAGCAAAACTGCAAAAGTTACAAGAAGTGCATAATTATTACTAACAAATACTTTTTCTAAAAGAAGCACTCCTTTTTCAGGAAGTTACTGGTGATATTTCAAAATGTTTATATTTATACCAAGATTTAACCAACCTACTTATGTTTATTAGAATTAACAAAGACTTATAAAGTAATTATCTACCGATTAGTATTAATGTATTTAAGTCGCGTACGAGTGATTTGTCCTAGAATGCATCTTTACATTACATCAACGAAGTAGGTAAGCTAGCAACATTTCAAATTCGGCTCGTGTTTTTCCATAAAGAGACGCCCCCATCTTCGAAACAAGACGCTGGGGCGAAACAGTACCTGCCGTTTGCTTTCTTTCGCATTGGGTAGGCTAACTTTGAGGCTTACTTTTCTCGAAAACGCATGTCTGGCTAAGTTGATATGAAAAATATTGATTAGCAAGACACCACTAGAAAAAAAATCCGATACAACTGAATACCGAACGATCCTCGAGATTTTCAGACATACCTACATCATTTTTCATGGCGTTGATTCTATTCCACCAGATCAGCATAGCTTGTAAAACAAATTTTTTGGCATTAGTTTTACTTTTGAGGTGCTTACATACAAAATTTCATTTAAATATCTTAAAAATTAAAAAACCGACTGCGCATGCGCAAATAGTTATTTGTACAACTAGTTTTGAAAGTGATACTTTTTTTCATGAATTTGCAGTTTGATTAATGAGGGCGAAGCCCGAAATAATCAAGCAAATTCATGGAAAAAAGATAATTTCACACGTGTTGTACACGAAATTTTTTTGCATAGTAATCCATAATAACCCACAATTGAATAATTTGATTGACATTCGCGATTTACTGTCACTCAAAAGTGGATGCTATTGTTCATAGACAGGACTAAACTCCATGGAAACGCATAGTAAAAATCACTATGTAAAAAACAAATTTTTTGATTCGGCATTTGTTTTACTTTTATTCGAGGTATGTACCTAGGTACGTACAAAATTTCATATAAATATCTTAACAAAAATCCCGACTGCGCATGCGCAAAACAATTTTTTGATTCGGCATTTGTTTTACTATTATTTCTTCTTCTTCTTCTTCTTTCTTTAATTCCATTTCGATTACATTAAGTAATATTGGATTGTCAATTATAGTGATCATACAAATAAGTGTAAAAAGACAGGGAGACATATCAGTACATTAACAGTAACAAACAAACATTAAAAATAAGTATATCACAGTTTTTGAACCAAATACTCTCCAATACTGTAGTAGGGGTGATCGACGAACAGGTTATGGGCCATTTTCTTGAACTCCCTCGAGGAGGTGCAGTTGCGAATATGTGGTGGAAGATGGTTGAAAAGTTTTGTAGCCATATATCTTGATGAATGTTCGTAAAGTGAAGTGGCATGGTGAGGGACACAGGGATTCGAATAGTGGCGTGTTAGCATTCTACGATTGTCGTCTTTGTTGGCAGTGAATTGTGATTTATTTTCATAAACATATACAACGCACTTGTATATGTATAATGAATAAATCGTTAATATCTTCAGTTGCTTGAAGAGAATTCGGCAGTGGTCATAGGCTCCAGCGCGGCACATTCTGCGGATAATGCTTTTTTGCAGCACAAGAATGCGTCTTGAAGCGCACGAGTTTCCCCAGATAATAACTGCATAGGTGAGGTGGCTCTGTACATGGGCGTAATAATATTTCAATAGCGTCGATTGAGATATTTGGTCACGAATGCAGAGTACCGCGTAACTTGCCGTCCGAAGTTTTCTGCAGATTGTGTCGATGTGTGGTGTCCAGTTAAGGTTTTCGTGTAACAGGACCCCTAGGAATTTTTCGCACGAGCGCTGTATTAGCGCTTGGTCGTTCATGAATATTGTGGGGGTGTTGTATCTTGGTGTGCGGGCATTACGATAGAAAACAATAGCTGTTTTATTGTCGTTAACTTTTAGTCGATTCGTAGAGCACCAGTTGGACATTCTGTCCACCGCGTGATGTGCAGTATCTACTAGGGCGTTGAGGTTCTCATGGGAGATGATGAGCGAAATGTCATCTGCGTATTTACAGATGGTAACATTGCGGTTATTGAACGTAAGGTCGACGTCATTTACAAAAATTATGAAAAGTAGCGGAGCCAGCGTAGAACCTTGTGGTGTACCATATGATTGCCTGTAGGTTTTAGATTTGGACTGCACGCTTGAGCCGGGTATATCTACATATTGAGACCTTCCGCTCAGGAAGGAGTAAATCCAACTGTGAGCATTGCCTACGACTCCATATAACTCCAATTTGTCCAGAAGTAGCTGGTGGTTAACAACATCAAACGCCTTGGACATATCAAAATATATGCCCAAGGTATACAGTTTCTCATCAAGGGATTTATATATGCAGTTGGTCGAGTCAACCATGCCGCTAGTGGTAGATTTGCCGCTTCTAAAGCCGTGCTGAGTTGGAGAGAGTAAACAGTAGTCATCAAAGTAGTGGGACAGACGTGTGACGAAGCATTTTTCAAAAACTTTAGAAAATGCTGACACAATAGATATTGGTCGATAATTGGCTACGTCGTGACGGTCACCTTTCATTTGAGGTGCCTACATACAAAATTTCATTTAAATATCTTAACAAATAAAACAAGTATAAATTGTGCACTTCTGCAGATAAAGCGCATTTTTTTAAACCGAAATAGCTTAGTAAATGGTTGGGTTATAAGGGGAGGAGGCTCTACACACAAACATTTAAAGACCACCTTGCATACATTCTTAAAAAATGCGCTAAAATACCCTCAGATAGATAATTAAAATCGGCATTAGATATCACCAAAAAAGCGTGTCTAAGCCCTTTTTTAAAAGTATAAAAGTTGTAGTTAATCTGTGGTTGAATTGAATTAGAATGGCGTTATTTTATTTTGCAAATAGAGGGCGCGTTTAAGGATACCGAAGGTATTTAAATTAAGGATATTTTATCCTTAATTTTGTTAAGCGAGAAAGAAAAGTCGTGGTGGAACCATATAAGTGTAAAAGACTGTGAAACGCGGAGAAATAAAGGCAGCGAGAAAGCGGACGAAGAGGGCGTAAGGCGTGTATGAAGATTATTGGAAGAATGCTCAACCAAGTTTGACCCATATAAGTAATAAAAATAATGTGAAAGGAAAGGAAGAGAAGTTGATGAAGGGAGTGTAAAGAAGAACACATTAAAAGAAACACGTTAATAAAAAAAATAAAGGCGATGTGGAAAAGCGTGGGAAGGGGATGCAACGAGGTACGGTACAGGGCAATAACCCCGAACCAAATTCCCCCCGAACTGCTTGCTTTTTCAACTTGACAAAACTTTTTCCGTAATCGGACAACACGCCGTTAAACTCCGATGTGGTTAACTGGGTTCTGCACAAGGTTATTATAAAAAATGACGAAGTCCGTGTTCAACGAAACAAACAGGGCTGACTGCCCGAGAATTTAGCGTAAACAAATAAACTCCTTTAAGAATTTTTAAATAAATCTCTAATCACGATGGAACGCGCCAAACGTCCACACTTCTTCAACGTGAAACGCACGAAACACCTCCATCTTCGTCATCAGCACCAGAACACCTGCGCTAATTAGTTTTGTCTAACAATAAAACTTCTTATCGCAAACGACCAGATGTAACCATTTATAAACACGCAAATTTGACCAGATGTCTCTTACTTCTAGCACCGTATCTAAATTGAATAATTACAAAGCGGTACTATTTAAACAAGAATTACGCATTTCCAAACAAATCTTAAAGGAAAAACACTGAATATAAATTCAAATGAAACAAACTAACTCTGTTATTATTTCGTAAATAATCCCCAGATTTACTTCCGTCAGTATTTTTGGTATTGCACTACACAGACTTATTGAAAAAGAAATGGAAAAAGAAGGCCTGATGGCGACCTTGCACTTCCGGCACATTGTAGAGCCGCTCATAGCCTTAATGGACTTGAGCGTCTCTTCTTTGCCGAGCTTTGCAATCATCTCCTGAATCATAACCCATAATTTGTGAAGTTATAGTGTGTTTGAATACTTAGTCACTAGCCGTTGAGTCTTATCAATCCGTCTCTAACTCTCGCTTGGATCTACCATTGCATTCATTCCACCACAGGCCAACTTCGCCGACCATTGGGGATTTACCCCCGTCGCTACTCACACCGGCCGTTTTAAGTTCAGCGATATCTCCATTCTCTTATTTGAAGAAGGGTTATTCACGCCGGCCATATTTTAACATTCAATGATCGCATTCGCAGGGATCCGAATAATCCACCATTGGTTCACCACAATAGGCGAGTTTGTAGGTGAGGGTGTTCTCAGATGCTACTCCGCGATCAGAAAGTCTATTGTCCAACTACCTCTTTGGTTCTATGGCCCTATCTGTCGTTATCAATACGAACAGTCGTTTACGTTTGTAGCAAAATAGGGGCGCGTTTCAAATGGAGCCCAACCCTTGAATGTCTATACACGCGGAATTTAAAACCAAATCGCACTGTGCTTTTGATTCCCTTATCGCACTTTAAATACCGCCGCAGCGACTCTATCAACACCGAAACTGATTAGGTCCCCACCGGTCTAGTCTTACCAAGAACTTTTTAATTATACTAATTCCTACGTTGTAACTGGTCGCCTTCCGGTAGTCGGTTTCCGCGTGCTTCACTGTTCGTACTTTAATTTGTCCAAAAATTTGGTCACAGCTCCCTTCTTTCTCGTCTCACTAGCGCCCACCCCCTTCCACTCTCGAAAAAAATAACTTTCACGGGTGGTCGATTCCTTTAGGAACATTAAAATTATGTCAAACAATATTCCTTAAGCACATTTCTAAAAATAACCGACCACTACTTTATACAAATCAAAAAATGTAATAGTCATTTACTATACAAGACGATAAAGGGATATTTTAACCATTGAGTGATGGACACAAGTGAATTAACTTTCACGAGATGATTAGTTTTCCTTTATCGTCGTCTATAATACAAAACTTTATTTTTATTTTATAGCAGAAGCCATACAAATCATTGTAAAGCTTCTGACAGTTCTGAATTTAATTTACCTAGAGGCGTCAAAAATAGCAAGCTTAGGTTCTGCCGTCGCGATCGTTTACATAGAAACAGAATTTTTATAAGTTCTAAACTTCATTTTATCGCCGACTAGCATTAGAATGCTATGATTATGAATGTCAAAATCATTAATAATCCGTCACTTTATGGCACCTGCCATAAAGTTGTGCCATAAAGTCGCCTTGACAACAAATTTAGGCTGATTGTTGATATATTATTTATTAATGTTAATAGTAATAGTACAATTTGAATTTCCGGAAATTGAAATGTCTGAACTAGATTGAAGAACACATTCATTTGTAGTCGATGATGCACTAGTAATTCCAGATACTGAGATAGTTGATGAAGATGCCAAATCCCTGATTCTCTGGCAGCTAACAGTGTTAACAGATCCTAAGGTTCTAGCAATTTTGTTCTTGTTTTCTCGTGAATCCGCCACATACCTACCCTTCCGCAACAGCATCGCTTTTCCAGTCACCATGTCTTTTCAATGTTCGAATGTCTGCGCCACTATCTGCAAGGATTGTAGCAGACGTTCTGCGAAATGAATGACCAGTGAACTGATCTGCATTAGGAAGGTTCAGATATTTGGCAATTTTACGAGGAATTTGACCAAAGGTATTGATGCCAATGGGATTACACGTACACTTTCCCGCACCATAGAATAGAAAGAACTTCTCTATTTTAACATGCTTTGGTCTTAAATTTATGTACTTTTTAATGAGCTCAGTGTAATTCATGCTATCATCATTTAAAATTGTGAATGTTCTGGGTCGATGTGTTTTCGTATCTTTGAGATTCACCACAAAAACTGCACCCTCTTCTTGGACATCGCTTACACATAAATTGTAAAACTCTATCCTTCTGCAAGCACCAAATAATCCAAATATTGCAACAACCTAAAATCATACTTTTATAGTAACCTTTTGTAGCAATAAGAGAAACCCACCCACCTTCATAAGGAGATATTGTTCGTCACAAGCCGAGGTCAAAAAATTTATTAACTGATTCTTTGAGAACACCAAAGATTTTTCTGCTGAATACCCAACTGAACACTTTTTTAAAAAAGCAGAAAGTTTAGAAAACTGGCTAATGTCAATGTCATTTTTTATTCGTAACATACATTTCAGCTTGGAGTACATGCACCACAATGACGAGGACTTGTAATTTTTTGACTAAAACGGAAGAAACAATAATTACAATTAGGTATATAATTATTTACAGTCTAATTGATCTACCTGATCCAGAAAATACGCCAGCAAAACCTTCTCATGCGTTAAACATTCACTCATGCCATAATCCCTTGCATTATAAACTAGTTTCATAATATACTATTATATCGTGCAGTTGAAATAAGTATGACATATATCATTAGAATGCACAATCATTTGTTTCACTTTATGTACTATTACGGTTAAAGTGATCACCTTACGGTTAAAGAACGGCGTAGCCTACTCACTCAAACGTATTAAAATGTCAATTTATTTTATAGCATATGATAAAATGACATTTTAATAGGTTTGAATGAGTAGGACAAGTCTCTCTTTAGCAGTAACAGTGGTTAAAGTGATCACTTTAACCATAAAGTGAAATATGTGAGTGTGCATTCTAATGACATGTGTCATTCCTATTGCAAATGCACGATATACGTCCAGAACATCCAGAATATATGACAATTCGGTTTCTATAGCAACAATCGCGACGCGACGGTAGAACCTAAGCTTGCTATTTTTGACGTCTCTAAATTAAAATCAGAATTAGCAGAAGCTTTACAATGATTTATATGACTTCTGCTATAAAATAAAGTTTGGTATTATACACGACGATAAAGTTGATATCAACTTAGCGAGACATCCGTTTTCGAGAAAAGTATAAGAGCGGCAAAATTTTTATTTCCACAACTAAAATCAACGGAAAATGCTAGTATAGTCTAGTCACCACCTATTTGTTTGAAGTTGCCTCGCTAAGTTGATGAACATTTATTATCATGCTTTTCGGACTTTCGGAGATCTACAAGACAGAGAGTTGAGAGATTTTCAATACAAGTAGAATACAACGTTTCGTTTCGGAGCAGTCATCGTCAAATTATACACTACAGTACCCACCGTGCGAACGTTTACTGCATCTCTCTTCGCTACCACTCACTCCAATTCCGTGAGCCTCACTGATACGAGGCAAACGCACGAACACTTGTCTTTATTATACACCATGCCATACAGTAAGAAGTTGGTATCGATATAAAATAAAGTATTAAAGATAACGAAAATTCATTTCATCATCTAAAAGAACATGAAAAGTTCTCTAAAGAAAGTCTGTTTGGTTTTTAAATCCCTCCCTAAATAACGATTTTAAAGCGAAAAATAATAAAAAACGCCAATTATGTTATTTTTCGCCATATTTAGGACACTTTAGAGGGGGTAAATTTTGTTTTTTGATTTTATTTAGTCGCAACTTTAGGATCATTTTTGTCTATTTAACCAACTCTCTATCTATGCTAATAAGCGAGATTTCTGTACTTAACACAAAATTTGATACAACCTGTATATGCATGCAAATATAATAATGTTTAATCACTTTTTATATATAAGAGAAAAGTGCCAACAATAAGGATGATTTTAAGTGGAGGGATTAATCAAGAATTAGACAATAAAGAAAGTAAGATTGTCTTAAAACTATAAACACTAATGGCTACTAATCATGCAATTGATGCCGTAGAACACAATATAAAAAAAATAAATGAACCCTTGAATTTGGCTGATTGATTATTGAAATTAAATGCGCACGTTTATCGCTAATAAACTGGCTCACGTCTACTTTCCGTACGAAGCGGTACATATGCAATTTTAAATTTACCTGAAATGCGAAAAGTGTAGAGAGCCTAGTGGGTGTTTCGTTACACTACGTAATTAATGACGGTACGGGGCGAGATATTTGGGGGACAAACTTAAAGTTTAAAATCGGAGTCATAATGGCCGGTTATACCATCTGCGAAAACGAGGTGTAAACGCAATAGCTGTTAATTACATTACGTAAATAAACCGGACGAATACTGACAGAGCTCGAAGCAGGCGAGTCGGTTAGCCCAAATGGAAGCGCTCGTAGTTGAAGGGCCGTCATTTTTTGTTTTGCGTGTTACATAAATCGGATCGACACCTGTCGTTTGAAGGTATTAATCACAGAGGCATATTCGAGTGCATATTGTAACGGGCGATCAAAAATGAGTTGCTGTCGAGTCGCCTTTGGAAGTTCAAGTTAAATACGATTTCCCATGTAAACAAAAGTTCCAAGGGTGACTCGACAGCAACTCATTTTTGATCGCACAGTAGGTACTCTCTAGATTTACTTTCAATCCCTTAGGATGTGGATCAATATTTTTGAAGAAATCTAGAATCCTCCTGGTAGCAGCATCTTGTGGCATAGCCGAGTGCAGTTTCATCCCCCAAGGAACCGGTGCCTATCCCTCACAGTGACACAGTGTATGCAGAGAAGAGTCTTCTTTCTCATGGCACCCTCTGTAAAGTGAATTTCCTTCGAGACTCATTGTGGAGGTGTCTCTTCATTCGAATTTCTCGAGTAAAAATGCGTTTTTCGGGGGTAAAACTGTTTTTGTTCGGGGGAAAATAGGAAACGGTTTTTCGGTAAGGTGGAGGGGGCGAAACGGACGGAAGGCATCGTGCCGCTTCGAACCCGCCTCAAACCGGAGGGGGGCGTATCGAGTTAGCGGTTTTGTAGTTTGACGGCTCTTCCGAAGCACCGTGTCATGGTGCGCTCCCGAGGTGGAGGAGGACGTCAGGAAGATGAGGAGGCGCGGGAGAAGTTTCGGAAGCACTTTTTCGCGAATTGCACGAACGAATTGCGTGGTGGGACTTTTTTAATTTGTTTCGCTTCATACGGCAATTACCCCGGTGGTCATCGGAGGAATTCCTTCAACCCCGGCGAAACTTGCCGCAACTATCCCAACCCCCATTAGTCGACGGCACGATGCTCTACGTCCAACCGTGTGGTAGAGCACGGCCACGCTCCCTAGCCGCTCAGGGAAATTTCCTAGTACCTAGCCATTTTCTGAGAATCGATCCGAACGTCTCATCAACATTTAATCAAAATCGAATCATTTTTAAAGAAATTAAAATGACAATCGGGAACTTGCAAAGATTTATTATTTGATATATACAGGGTGGCAATTTGAAAACTTACCGCCCCCCAGGCCCCATGTCTTAGTAAATAAACGAGATATAAAAAAAATCAAAATCCGTTGCGGTAATTCGGAGGGGGAATCACAATGACATAGTTGGTGATGCACTCCCTCCAACTCCCTGCGCCCCCGCCACACCAACTTTTAAATCTGAAATAGTGACCCCCCCCCCATGTGTGATACGTCGTTGGAAAGCTCTGAAAAAATGCTCTCCAACCATACCAAATAGCATTACATTTAGGTTAGTAATTATCGTGCAAATCAAAAAATAAACTAATATGATATATTTGAAATCTGTCGTATTTCAAACGCAACCGGCGAACATAGACGAACTAAGACAGAGAATAATTCAAGAATGTCGAAATTTTGCAAAACCAACATTTGAAAAGGTTCAACAAGAGTTTGAGAATAGATTATACTACTGTCTTACCAATAACGGAAACTATTTTGAAGATTTATTGAAATAAAAGCCAACTTTAGAAAATGTATCATATTAGTTTATTTTTTCATTTGCACGATAATTACTAACCTAAATGTAATGCTATTTGGTATGGTTGGAGAGCATTTTTTCAGAGCTTTCCAACGACGTATCACACATGGGGGGTCACTATTTAAGATTTAAAAGTTGGGATGGGATTTTGATTTTTTTAAATATCTCGTTTATTTACTAAGACATGGGGGTGGTAAGTTTTCAAATTGCCACCCTGTATATCATTCCTACTAAACTTTATCAAGTGTGTAGCTATTTTAAGGTAGGGCATCTTTAGTAGAGCCTTGGCCTGTCTCTTGCCAGAGGTGTTCCCTATTGGAGCATCTTGGGCAAAATTTGAACATGAATGAGGAATGTAACACAAAATAGCTTTTTGGAAAAAAAATGTCGAGGTTAGGAATGGGTACACTATATGCTTGACTATATGATAGCCATGTGACAAATTTACGGCAATGGAAGTCATGATTTCTGTCGCGATTTACTTTTTGGAATAAAAGAGAGGAAAAAGTACCGAACTGAAGCGTCAGGTTACAACACCACAATAGCTAACTGGAAATATTATAAGGTTTAGTTTTTCGGCCACGAGTACGAGGTGTGCTTTACCGTTTCCCTAAGAAAATTGATAGGTTAAATTTTTCGAGAGCCGTTTTTTATGCATCTGGAGTTTCTTTAATTAATTGTTATTTCGTTTATAGAATCAATCAATCAATTCAATATTTCACAATTTACAGATACATTTTCTTTAATACTTCTTTGTTTCTTGTAACGAAAGTATTCTTTCAAGCGTATAGCGTGAATGTTGATAAATCCGGTTGCATCTGAGGGAGTAAAATCAGAATGTCTATCCATAGATACCAAATCTTCGTTGTACAAAGAAACTTCGGAATAACGTCCCAAAACGAACACTAAAAATTTACAACATAAAACATTAAAAGTACACCAGACCAATTTACCATTTCCTTTATACACTTTTAATTTGACTGTGCCCGATACCATTTCTTGAGAAATTGAAATACATTTTCTTAAGTAATCCGCTTCGGGCGAAAACCAAAATCCATTGTACACAGATTCCGATAATTTATCGGATAAGCTTTGTTTAATCCTATAAATTTCTTTATCTAAACAGAATATTTCTAAATCTTGATGGGCCACATGCATAATATGGGCTGCGGGACTTTCATAGATTCCTCTCGACTGTAAAAAGAGGGTAACTTATCTGCCATTACACTTTAATAGAGTACCTTTAGACCAATAAACCTGTTTTCCACAATATCAATCCTTCCCACGCCATGTATTCCTCCTATACCATTGAGTTTCATATACATCTCCAAAGAATTTTCTATGCGTTGATTGTTTTTGAAAGTTACACTAGTCGGTAAGCCGTTCTTGAAACTAATTTGAAGAATACAGGGCTCATCTGGAGTTTCCTCAACGTTTGACGTGATCGTGTATAAATCGGCGGGAGCTTCGTTTGAAGGATTCTCCAAAATTCCCGATTCGTAGCTGATGTGCATTAAATTTGCGTCAGTACTCCAAGGAGCGCTAGGCGTTGCAGAAACTGGAATTTTATTTCTAGCCGCAAATTCCAATAAATCCTTCCTTCCTTGAAACTTTGAGGTAAACTCCGGATCACGCCAAGGCGCAATCACCTACGAATTAGCTTAACTGAAGATGTGCACTTACATATACCGGGGTCGTTACCTTTAGTGAAGGGCACATTGAGTAGCACGACAACTCAAATCGAACTTGATCGTTCCCTTTTCCAGTGGCACCATGGGATATGTATTGGGCATTGTGTTGGGAATAACATTTCATTAAACCAGTCGAAATACACGGTCGGGCTAATGATGTGCCTAAAAGGTACCTAGCCTCGTATAGCAAACCAGCTTGAATTGCTGGAAAAATATAGTCTTCGACGAACGTAACTTTTAAGTCGTCGATTATGACCTAATGATCATATACTTATTAACATAAAAATTGAACAATAAATGATACATACATCGCTCGCGCCAATGTTTAGCGCTTTTGTTTTGGCTGCGCCGAAATCTTCATCTTGCCCAACATCAGCAATGTAGCATATAACCTCGTAATCTTTTTCTAGTAGCCATTTCAATATACAACTTGTATCTAAACCACCTGAATAGGCCAAAATCACACGTTCTCTTTTCATTGCTAAGTCACGTACTGATTTTGAGGTTTGTTAATGTAACTTTTGATTAGTGACTACGCGTTTAAAGTTCAAATGATAACTGTTGACAGTTTGTAAAATCCCTAAGATTTCGCAAACACCGGCACTGTGTATCTATAATTATGTGAGTAGTCGATTATTTGATACAGCCTTTCGGGGGAAAATCGTAGGTACATGGCTTCACTAAATAATTACCAACATAGTGATACCTCAATTTTCATCGAGGCCTTAGCTTGACAAAGCCATAAGAAAATGTGTGTGCTGGTATGTACATTCACATACACAGTACAGCTTTAATTTTTTTGGTAATGGCCATAGGTAGATACCTTAGTTTGGCATTTTTCCACGCAACCAAATTTGCGAATTTGTGGTGATCTTTGACATTATCAGATCCTAAATTAATGATTAACAACAATGCAACATATTTGTAGCGTTTGTGTCATTGTTTTTAATTAAGCCACGAACCAAGAAAAAGAAGATGTGGGAGTGTTTAGACATGAAAAGAGTGGTTTCAAAATAAATTTTTGAACACAAGAAGGACATACAGGGATAATATGATGAAAGTGCACTTGAACTATGTAACATAACAGTAATGTAGACCTTTAAAAAGGTAAGTTTCATAGGGATTATGCTCCTTTCCTCCCTTCTCGTCTCCACCATTCAAATAAGTGCGTTTGAAATTTGCCCTGACCATTCAAATTATTACTTATAAAGATACAAGCGATTTTTTCGTCCCTAAAAAAATGGTCAAATTTGCATTCCTTCGTCAATTCTTTTCAACCATAAGAATCTAGATAAGAATTACAGTCCCAGTCTTTGTAACTCTTACTTCTCACGTTTTTGAATAGGTTTGGGGTATGCCCTTTCCGATATTGCACAATTTTCTAAATTCTTATCACGAAAGAGAAAATAGATGGGGGTCCAAGTGGGGGTCCGAAGAAAATTCTAATTTCGACGAAATCTAGCATCTGGGGTTTTTGAACATGAAAATCACGAATCTGAAATTAGTTTTTGAAAATTCGAAAAAAAGAGGGGTGCCTGTTTCCACGTAAACATTTAAAGTCCGTTTGGCCTACATTCAAAATTTACGCTATACAGGGGCGGGTGTGTGGGTGGAGGATTGTACATTACATATTTTTACTGGACATCTACTTTTTCAAAAAATGACGAATTACGGCTAAACGACTCATTTTAGATATCATGTGTAATATACAGTGTGTCCCAGATCGGGTGGGATTGCATGGGTAACTTTCTTATTATTAAAGATAGAAAATTGGTTAAATGGGCAATGTTTTGCAGTTTTAGATGCTTGTTTCAAATTTCCTTGTGGAAATTCAAAATGTCGAATAGGTTCGACGTAAATTAAAAAAAACTAAAATTGGTCATTTCCTTTAATGTCTTATATCATCGAAAGTATAAGAGATCTAAAAAAAGTTACTGTCTTTGATACGCCTAATTTAGAATTGATGTAAAAAAATTCAAGATGGCTACCTTTGAGGAACATTTACCAACTTCCTAAAGTTAAATAGGCGCCATATTGGATTTTTAGATTATTTGATGGATTTTTTAATTCTCTTTTCAACAAACTATCATAGCATAAGATTGAAAATAAGATACCAGTTATATCTACGGTTTTTATATTTTAATCAAGTAGGCTATGATGAATTAAAAAAAAAACAAAACAAAATCTATAATATACATTAATAATATAAGGGCGGTTCCATTTAAAAAAATCAACTGTGATATAAATCACCCTATATAACAATTGCAGTTTCGTTGAAAATATTGATAGATCCTTCAACATATCCCGACAATGAATTTTAAATTGTGCGTTAATAAACCCACAATCTGCCACCTACACACTACTGCCCCACCCTGTATAGTGTATAATACAAGAAGAATCAAGCCCTTAGAGAAATTCTCCGAAATATTGCATTTTTCCTTTATACCTTCCTCCAACATCTTCGAAATATCCACATTTAAGTTTTTACCTCGGTTTTTACATTGCCAGTGTCTCGTCCTGACGTTCCACTTGCCCTTTATGAGTATCCTCTTCCGACCGTTTTCAATATATTCGCTTCGGTTTCACCGATAGATTATGTACATAATATCGTTCCACCTCCAATTTTCTGTACATTGGTTTCAATAACGTAACACGTGTAGGATAAATTGATTTTATTTCAAGCTTTGTGGTTATGCCTAATGCCACTGCCTTGCAATTAATGGTGAACATTTTAACAGTCATTGCGATGAAAACCATTTTACGGCTAATTTCGTTTTATCTTCAAAGTTTAATATGAAAAGTGCATGTTCATTTGTTTTATTTTGACGTAGAATATCTGGATTAATCTCGGGATTAATGTTATTGATCAAATTATAACACTTTTTTTTTTAATCTTCTTGATTGAAGGTACTAACATGTTATATTATCGAAAAGAGAAAAACAATCTCTATCAAATGAGCCTAATGAAAAGGTGCACTCTGCACTGCCATTAAAAAAGTTCAATTGTTTTTCGTTACTCATTTGTTGTTTGAAATAAAAACAACTGAATGCTGCCTTAATATATGAGAAATAAATTGTTAAACAACTTTCATATTGAAAATCTTTGTATTCAGTCGACATTTACCGAGCTACTATATATTCCATACATAATGGACACTCTATATGTGTACAACATAACACACGATTCCGTGAAATTCTGATCAAGTGATCACTTTAATTGTCCCGCCAAAAATTGCAGTTGGATTTTTTTTCAATTTTCAAAAACCATGTGGGTAAATTGTAAATTCTCCTGTTTAAAAACCACCAAATTTCGTTGAAATCAGAATTGTTTTCTTGTTCACTGAAATTTTGGAATTTTTCTTTACAAATTAAAGAACAAAAGCGATTTTAGCGACCTTCTTACGGATAGAATCTAAACGAAACATTTGCGCCCCTTTGTTTATTTAAAAAAATGTTCGATTTGGTCTGTGCATGCATTTATTTCTTAAAAGAGTATTATAATGTTCGAAAAAGAGGCATTGTTGGTAAATTATACATACAGGCAGTTTTTTTGGGAGTTTTAGTTAAACGTTTTTGGGAAATTAAAATAGGTAGGTTTTTGAAAATTTGTACTTAGGAGTTACTCTGAAGGCCGAATCGATGTAAAATATTTTCAAAATGGCCGCACTCCCGGAAACACATACCTGCCATTTATGGTTTTTAAGTTATTTTGACTTTAACAAAAAAAATGGCGGATGCAGATGGCATCTTGATAATTGATTACTTGAAAACGGCTCTAGTCATGGCAACCCATTTTTATCAGTGCATAGAGAATGAATAGGGCTTTCTTTTAGTGTACTTAAAAAAAGTTAAGTTGCGGACGACCGCACCTATGGAGATCCAAATTTAAGAAACTTCAAAGTCTAAAAACTCAGTTTTTTTAAATTGAATGACCATGTTCTTACTATTGCATGAGATAGAGAATCGAAATTCGCATATTTTTATATTACATGTTCCTATAGCTATTTTTAACAGTTTCTGATTTATTTCCATTTCATTGAATTGATACCATTTTTGTCGCATTTTCTTTTTAGTAGTTGGCCATGATTTTATAACAATCGAATTTTAAACAAATCAAGGAAAGGATTCTTTAGTATTATTGATTCTACTCTAAACAATTCATTAATAAAAAAGAAACAATGTGATCAGCTTCAATTGGAAAACAAAAATTTTTATGAAAATAGGATCAAATTATTTTAAACTCTTTCTCCTTCAACACATGCTCAAAATGAGAGCCTTCGTGTTGCAAACACAATTCAATTCATTTTCTTAAATATTCTCTTGTAGAGCTTTGATCACTTGTGCTTCAACGATTTGTAGTGCATTTGGGGGTACACCATTTCCTAAATTCATAGAATTTCGTTCCAGGGTTTGAATGAATGTACGGCAAACACTTGCCGCGATTTTGTCCATTTTACCATAAATAACAATTAAATTCCAAAATAGGTGCAACCAGTGCGAGTCATTTTTCGATTTTTGAAAAGCTTATGTTAACCTATAACAGTAGGTGACGGATTAGTGTCACTAGATTTGTTTAAAATTCGATTGTTATAAAATCATGGCCAACTACTAAGAAGAAAATGCGGCAAAAATGGTATCAATTCAATGAAATGGGAATAAATCAGAAACTGTTAAAGATAGCTATAGGAATATATAATATCAAAATATGCGAATTTCGATTCTCCATCTCATGCAATAGTGAGAAAATGGTCATTTCGTTTAAAAAAACCGAGTTTTTAGACTTTGAAGTTTCTTAAATTAGGATCTCCATAGGTGCGGTCGTACGCAACTTAACTTTTTTTTAAGTACACTAAAAGAAAGCCCTATTCATTCTCTATATACTGATAAAAATGGGTTGCCATGACTACAACCGTTTTCAAGTAATCAATTATCAAGGTACCATCTGCACCCGCCATTTTTTTTTCTTAACGTCAAAATAACTTAAAAACCATAAATGGCAGATATCGACATGTGGGTATCAAAAGAACCGAAATTTCACGTAGAATCCAAAAATGAATAAGAAATAGGAGTTGCTATTTAAAATAACGAAGTTACTATCTACTTCCGGTGTTTCCGGAAGTGCGGCCATTTAAAAAATATTTTACATCGATTCGGTCTTCAGAGTAACTCCTAAGTACAACTTTTCAAAAACCTACCTAGTTTACTTTCCCAGAAACGTTTAACTAAAAAAACACCCTGTATAATCGGTGCCTAAAGACGATGTGTTGTAGAAGCATTCAGAGTATAGAAGAAATTCGCAGTGTTACATGGCACGCGAATGTCAAATATTGAATTTATTTTACATAATTGCCTAAATCGTTGATAGTTTGAATTGCGGAAATCAACAGACAACAACACATTCTGATGCTTTATAGTAAAGGTTATTAGTTCATTGTAAACTTTCCTATGAAATTATTTCTTCATCACATCATTATTAACGAAATGCCACTGTAGGCAGGTACATATAAGCGCAATATTAATAACCAGTTGTTCACTTTTGGTCTTTTGCTTTATGTGTTGAACGATGATCGCTTTGTATCACAATGACTTTTAATAAAACGGCAATTTGGTAATCTTTTAATTACACGGCGGCATTTGAGTTTCAGATTCATTGAATGGTAATAGAGCGATGGTTTCTAGTCACGTAATTTTGTAGATTGCCGGTTTACAGGCTGGTGAATGAAATTTGAAATTGGTACCGTGTTGGAA